TTTCTATTTATTTATTATCTTATCATTAGCTTTAATAGCATTTTATTATTCACACCGACGAAGTAAAGGAAATTTGAAAATGACTTGTTAATTTGAAAATATCGGGAAAAAAGGTTTTTGTTTATTTCTGTGATCATTTTCAAGATTCTCGAAACTCTTTTTAATGGCTTCTTCTTCTTTGTTTTAGTAAAAATTCCGTGTCTGTCTTTTATTTAAAAAATCAAATCTACCAACTTGTTCATTACTCATTCAACAACTCCCTTCATTAGTTTTTATTCCCCACTTTTTGATTTTTCCATTACAAAACTTAAAGACCAATTATTTGCCAGTGTCTCTCTCATTAAATACATATTTTGATCGTTTCTGGTTTCTGTAAATCACTAAAGTTTTGTTTTTTTTTTCTTCTTTTGTGCAATTCAGTGAAACAGAGTTGTGTGATCATGGTGGAGGTTCCAACAGTTGAAGATTTGTTATTATTACAAGCACAAGAGCTTGTACCAATAGCTTTGTCCAAAGCAAGAACAGTGAAAGTTTTCTCAAGCAGATGGAGAGTGATCATTTCAAGATTAGAGAAGATTCCTACATGTTTATCAGATTTGTCTAGCCATCCTTGCTTCTCTAAACACACTCTTTGCAAAGAACAACTTCAAGCAGTCTTAGAAACTTTAAAAGAAGCAATCGAGCTTGCGAATGTATGCGTAAAGGAGAAGCAAGAAGGGAAACTGAAGATGCAGAGTGATCTCGATTCTTTATCTGCGAAAATCGATCTTATCTTGAAAGATTGTAGATTGCTAATGAAAACAGGTGTTCTTGGAGAAGTTACACAACCTTTATCTTCTTCGATTCAAGACTTGGAAACGTTTAGCGTTAGAGAATTGCTTGCTCGGCTTCAAATCGGTCACTTGGAGTCAAAACGTAAAGCGCTCGAGCAGCTCGTCGAGGTAATGAAAGAAGACGAAAAAGCGGTTATAACAGCTTTAGGTCGGTCCAATGTCGCGTCTCTAGTGCAGCTTTTGACCGCTACTTCGCCTAGCGTAAGGGAAAACGCGGTGACTGTGATCTGCTCTTTAGCGGAATCAGGCGGTTGCGAAAACTGGCTTGTCTCGGAGAACGCCTTGCCTCCATTGATAAGGCTACTAGAATCCGGAAGTCCAGTTGCTAAAGAGAAGTCGGTTATTTCGTTGCAGAGAATGTCGATATCATCAGAGACATCGCGTTCGATTGTTGGTCACGGCGGGGTTAGTCCGTTGATCGAGCTTTGCAAAACAGGGGACTCTGTTTCTCAATCAGCTTCCGCTTGTACATTGAAGAACATTTCCGCTGTGCCTGAAGTAAGACAGAATCTAGCCGAAGAAGGAATCGTTAAAGTAATGATTAATATACTTAACTGCGGAATTCTGTTGGGATCTAAAGAATACGCAGCGGAATGTCTTCAGAATCTTTCTTCAAGTAACGAAGCTCTTCGAAGATCGGTTATATCCGAGAACGGGATTCAAACTCTGCTCGCTTACTTAGACGGACCACTCCCTCAAGAATCAGGAGTTGCAGCGATTCGGAATCTTGTTAGCTCTGTTTCGGTCGAAACTTACTTCAAGATAATCCCAAGTTTAGTCCATGTTCTTAAATCAGGATCAATAGGAGCTCAACAAGCAGCTGCATCAACGATTTGCAGGATTGGTACATCAAATGAAACGAAGAGAATGATCGGCGAATCGGGTTGTATCCCTTTGCTGATAAGAATGTTGGAAGCCAAAGCGAGTGGAGCTAGAGAAGTCGCTGCTCAAGCTATAGCGAGTCTTGTAACGGTTCCAAGGAACTGCAGAGAAGTGAAGAGAGACGAGAAGAGTGTGCCGAGTCTTGTGATGTTGCTTGAGCCTAGTCCGAGTAATTCAGCGAAGAAGTACGCGGTTTCGGGTTTGGCTTCTTTGTGTTCGAGCAGGAAGTGTAAGAAGCTGATGGTTTCGTATGGAGCTGTTGGTTATTTGAAGAAGTTGTCGGAGTTGGAGGTTCCTGGTTCAAAGAAGCTTCTTGAAAGGATTGAGAAAGGGAAATTGAGAAGTTTCTTTAGTAG